GTCCGCGGCGGCCTCGGCCTCGGCCGCTTTTNCTCGGCCTCGCGCTTGTCGGCCTCGACCTTGGCCTGGCGCTCGGCCTGGCGCTGCGCCATCCGGTCGCACTCGGCGCGGAAGTTGGGGTCGATGTACTGGTCGAGCAGCACAATGGCCTGGTTGCGCATCTGGTGCGCCCGGAAGACGCGCTCCGGCTCGACGTAGGCGCCCTCCTCGGCGTTCGACACAATCTTGTTGATGTCGTCCATAAACGCGCCGTACGAGAGGTAGCCGTTGTAGTAGAGGCGCTTTTGCATCTTTTCGAGGTTCATGGTCCAGAAGGTGTGCGTCTGCATCCGGAACCAGCCGTGCTCGTCCCGCTGCACGCCCTCGGCCCGTTTGCCGGTCGCCGCCGTCGGTTCCGGCGCTGTGACGGTGGCGGTCGACTGGTCGGCGTCGGCGTCGGCATCGGCGTGGGTCGCCGCGGCAGCTGCACCCTGGTCGCCCGCCGCCTGGGCGATGCCGTTGGCCATGGGCAGAGCCTGCTGCGGAGGCTGCTGCTGCTGCTGAGAGGGGGGTGGCAGCGCGGCGTCCTCGGCCGCTGACGGATCGGCAGGCTGTCCAGCGTGCGTGGCCGTCTGGTCTGCGGGCTCGCCGGCCCCGTTGGCCTCGGTCACGGGCAGAGCGCCGCCCAGCGGCAGCGCAGCCTGCTCCATCGATACGTCGCCCGCATCCGCGGTGCCATTGGTGCCGTTGAGCGGCAGCGGCTTCTGTGCTGCCTCGCCGAGAGCATCCGTCGACTCGTTGGCCGCATCGGCAGCGGAATCGGTCGCTCCTCCGTCGGCGAGGGCGGTGGCGCCTGCCTCTTCGCCTTCTGGCGGCGGCAGATCGTAGCGTACTTCGAAGATGTACTTGCTCTTCTCCTTCTTCCACTCAAACGTCTGGGAGAGGTACTTCATGTTGTACTCGTCCTGTCAGGGGAATGGCGAAGCGGCGGGGAATCAAAGGGGGTAGTAACGTCAGCCATCGATCTTTGCCGGCCGAGCTTGCATTCGGCAGGAGCGCCGTGGGGCCGACCCTTCGCGCGCGCCACTCACCCAGACATCCCGCGTAAACTTCTTGTGCTTTTTGCGCAGCTCGGTCAGCACCGGGCCGAGGCGGAACTTGAGGTGTTCGAGCAGCTTGGCGTCGTTCTCGGCCTGCTGCTGGAGCTCGGCCTCGGTCAGCTTGCGAGGCGCGCGCGGCGGCGCCTTGGGCAGCTCCTCGAGCACCTTGCGCCTCCGCGGCAGCGCGTCCGGGAACTGGGTCGGCGGCCGGCTGACGTGGTCGAGGATCTCCTGGAAGTAGGCGCGGCGCTGGTCGAGGGCCGGAGCGCGGATCTCGGTCTTGTTGTCGCGCAGGTAGCCGAACCAGCTCTTGACGTCGCGCGAGAGCCGCGAGAGGGGCGCCTCGGCGATGGCGAGCACGAGGATGGGGTCCGAGGGCGCCAGCTCGTCGAGCAGCGCGCGGAACGTCGTCTTGACGCTGTCGCTCACCGAAGCCGCCCAGTGGATGAGTCCCGGGATGAAGATGACGCTCGGCTTGTGGCGCTTGGCCTCAACAAAGAGCTGGACGACGGCGGCCTCGGGCGTGCGGGCGCTGTCGCCCATTAGCGTGCCGATGTCGAGCGACTGGACGTGGTAGCCCTCGAGGTGCTGGAGCAGCGCGCCGCCGACGGCCGCCTGGCCCATGCCGACGCCGCCGTGGATCAGCATCCGCGGCCGGAAGACGCGCTGGGCCTCGAACGACTGCAGGAGCATCTCGCGCCCGAAGCCGCGGTCGTCATCGAGGATGCTGGACCCAGCGATGAGCGAGGTGCCCTTGGGCGTGGCGAAGGTATCGTCCTCCCAGAGCGCCTCCTCGAGCGGGTTGCGCTTCGAGACGGGCGGCAGCACGCGGTCGAGGGCGGCGGTGGCCTCGGAGACGGCGTCGCCGAGGAGGGGCCGCAGCCGCTCGGGCAGGGGTGCCGCGGCCGACGCCGTCGACCTCGCCGACGACGGCACGATCTTGTTGACCGACATCATAAAGTCCTTGGCGTCGACCTGGATCGACTCGGGGTCGAGGAGCAGGCGGTCGGTGGTCTGGTAGATCTGCGGGTACCGGCGCTGGATGGCGTTGAGCGCCGCCTCGGTGCAGAGCGCGCGCAGGTCGGCGCCTCCGTAGCCCTTGGTCACCTCGGCGAGCTTCCACTTGAACGGGTCGTCGAGCGGCGGCTCCCACTTGCGCGTCTGGATGTCGATGATGCTCTTGCGCGCCTCCTTGGACGGCAGCGGGAAGTAGAACTCGCGGTCAAAGCGCCCGGGCCGCCGCAGCGCCGGGTCGACGCTGTCCGGCCGGTTGGTGGCGCCGATGACGACGACCTGGCCGCGGCCGTCCATGCCGTCCATGAGGGCGAGCATGGTGCTGACGATGCTAGCGTGGATCTGGTCCTGCTTGCTCGACCGGACGGGCGCCAGGCCGTCGATCTCGTCGAAAAAGATGATGCTCGGCTGCGACGCGCGGGCCTCCTCGAACAGCAGCCGCAGCTGGCGCTCGGCCTCGCCCACCCACTTGGACAGGCAGTCGGCGCCCTTGCGCATGAAGAAGCTGATCTGCTGCCCGTCGGTGCTGCAGCTCGACGCCAACGCGCGCGCCACGAGCGTCTTGCCCGTGCCCGGCGGGCCGTGGAACAGCACGCCGCGCGGAGGCGTCACCTTGAAGCGCTGAAAGAGCTCCGGGTACAGGAGAGGCAGCGTCACCATCTCCTTGAGCTGCTGAATGTGGTGATCCAGGCCGCCGACGCTGTCAAAGTCGATGTTCATGTCCACGCCCAGAGGGTCGATGTCTGCCAGAGGGTCGCCCTTCTTGATCCGGCCGAAGCTGTCGGTGCCCCCGGAGCCAGGTAGCCCGCCGGCTGAGGCTGCGCCGCCACCTGCCCCTCCGGTGGTACCGCCGGCCCCGAGCAGGCCGCCCGAAGATGTGCCGCCAAACATCGAGGCGCTGGCACCGGGCTTGCCCATGGCGTTCTGCTGCAGCTCCTCGTCGGAGCTGTCGATGGGGTCGCCGAACGCCGCGGCGTAGTCCTTGCCAGTCATCGAGAGGGGCAGCGCGTCCCAGCCTTCCTTGCCCTTCTTGCCCCGACCGCTCGGCCCGCCAAACGGCATCGCAGGAAGGCCGCTCGTTCCGGCCCCGGCAGCCGTGATCTCGTAGGCGCTGGCACCGGCGCCTCCGCCCGAGGTCCTGCCGCGCGGACGAACGGCTCTCCCGAACCCGTCGCGCGGAGGGGACGTCGGTGGTGCGAACACCGAGTAGTTGATGCTCTTGCGCTCGCGGAGTTTGTAGGAGCGAGCCTGGCTGCCTTCGGGCTCATCGCTCTGTGCGCCCTGGCCGTCCTCGTCGCCCGTGCCGAGCTGCTCCTCGGGCGTCTCCTCGCCCTCGAGCTCCTCGTCGTCGACCTTGTCGCGCCGCCGCCGCGAGCTGGCCCTCGACCCGCGGCCGTTGGCACGTTGCCGGGCGCGCTTCTTGGCGGCCATCTCCTCCATCTTGCTGTTGCCCTTACGGAGACGGAGGGATCGCTTCGGAGCGCCGTAGTCGGCCTCGCCGTCGTCGTCGTCATCGTCGTCGTGCGTGACGAAGCCGCCGAGGCTGGTGTTGGCCTTGGACCGGGTCCGGCGCACGGGGACGGGCTCGTCGCTGTCCTCGCTGTCTGCCGGCGACTCCTTGAAGTCGGCCCTCACCATTCTGCCGCTGCGCGTGCGTCGCGTCTGCGGCGCGGGCTTCTCGTAGGTCTCGTCGTCCTCGTCGTCCTCGTCATTGCCGGCAGCATCTGCTTCGGGGATCGGCTCCTCGTGCTCCTCGTCGGCCTTTTCGCCCTTGGCATCCGCGCCCACGTCGTGCTGACCGTCGTCGAAACCGTCGCCATCGTCCGCGTGCGCGTCATCGGCAGCCTGTGAGTGTCGAAGAGCAAAAGACAGCCAAGTTCAGTCTCTACGTTGTTCGCCGCAACGGGCGGCAGAAACGCCAGAACAGAGCCAGCGGAGCGCAGGAGGGGAGAGAGAGAGAGAGACAGAGCGCGCGAAAGAGAGAGAAAGAGAGAGAGAGAGCGGGCGAAGGAAAGGCATGGAGAGAAGAGCAGGGCTAGGCTGTGGCCCCGGCGCCAAGGCAGACGCGGTCCACGGCTGGGCCGGAGTAGGGCAAGCTGAGAGGAAGGGTCGTGGAGGCGTCGGGTGGGGAAGGACGGAGGTTGGAGGGCGGCGGTCGGAGGACGGCGGGCGGAGGGCGGAAGGCGGAGGGCGATGGGTGGGACAGGTGGAGCAGGTGGGACAGTCTTGGACGGAGGGGCGTGTCTTGCGGCTTACCCGTTCAGCCTCGTCTGTGTCCGAGTCGCTGCGCTCGTCAAAAGTGCCCCTCGGCCGTTTCGTACGCGGCGGTAGGATCCGGGCGGGCGGCGTGGCGGAGTGCTGCACGGGGCGGACCCTGGATCTCGCCGGTGTCGGGGTCCCCGGATTCGCAGGTTGTGCTCCGGTCCGGCCCGCTCTGCTCTGCTCTGGCTTTCTCTGTGGGCGCTGTCTCTGGCTTTGAGCAGCCGTGCCCTGGTGCCCTCGCTTCAGCGGACTCACAGCTTCAAAGTCGTCGTCTTCGGCGACGTCGGTATAGCGCAGGCCTGATCGCCGTCCGCGCAGGCTCCTTCCGCCGGCTGGCGTCGGCGGGGCGTCGTCCTCTTCGGCCAGGTTGCCGGCGCGCGAGGTTCTCCCGCTTCGCCTTGTCGGGGGCATGGCGTCGAGGTCGTCGGTGGAGGGATCCGAGGCGGGAAGCGACTCGGGCAGGGTCTCGGGTTTGATCTGCAGCTGGGCCTGGGCCTGCTGTTGGCCGGCGGCGTTGGTGGTGGCGCTGCGTCGAAGGAGAACCTTGAGCGACTTCTTCGTCGGACTCGTGGCCTGGACTGCCTGAGCTCCCTGGACCGGCTGAACAGGGCCAAAGGGCGGGGTGAGGTACTCGGTGCTTGACGGCGACGGGACTGCTGTTTGTCGGTGCGTGCGCGCGAAGTCGGCGAGATGGCAGAAAGAGTCAGGACGGCAGCAGTCGCCCAGTCGCCAGGCAGTGAGCACGGTCGTGGCAGCGGCGGACAGGCGAGCGATGGGGAAAGGGGAAAAGGGTGGAAGGCAGGAGCAGCGTCAGTGTCGAGCGGCGGGTCTCCTCGGAACACGAGGCGCTGCCGGTAAGCGCAGGCGAGGGCCACTCACCTTGCTCCTGCTGGGCGAAAGCCTGTCGAGGATCGAGACCGTTCGGAGCGTAGTGCTGGGGTTGGGCGGGCTGCTGCGGCTGCGGCTGCGGCTGCGGCTGCGGCGACTGATCCTGCAACCGCTGCAGATGATGCTGCAGCTGATGCTGATGGTAGGGGGACTGGTGCTGCGCCTGCTGCGCCTGCTGCTGGAAGGACTGCAGGTGCTGCTGCTGCGCCGGATAGTGCGTGTGGACACTAGGGGAGGCCGAGCCCGGATAGGCGTTGCCGCTGCCGCTGGTGCTGCCCGCGAAGCCGCCGTTGTTGTGGACGCTGTGCGGGTCGGAAGGGTATCCTTGGCCCGAGAATGCCGCCAGGCTGCTGCCAGTGCCGCCAGTGCCGCCGGTGCCGATGCCGGCGCCGCTGGCGTCAAAGTGCGGTGTGAGGGCGCTGAGGTCGTGGCCGAAGGCGAACGCGTCGGCCGAGGAGAAGTTGGCGTATGCGGGCTGGGTACGCGATTGGGCCGCAGAGAAGGTGTGGCTGGGGCTGTAGGCTGGGGCGGCCGGGTAGCCCTGAGGATAGCCCTGCGGGTAGCCCTGCGGATGCTGCGAGGGCTGCAGGGGCTGCTGATGCTGAGGCTGCTGCTGGTGAGATGGCTGCTGGGCGTGCTGGGGATAGCCCGGATGCTGCGCGTGTTGGTAGGGGTGGTTGTAGCCTGCAGGAGGGTTCCTCTGACCGCCAGACATTGAGCAAGGGCGGTGGCGAGGGGCGGAAGGCTCTCGACCGCCACCTCAGTCGGCGAGGGCCGGCAACGGGGCCGATGGGCCTGGGATGGGGCCAGGGGAGCGAGCACGGAGCCGGAGCAGCGTCGCGAGCGGGTCGTCTCCACTAGGAGGCGCTGGAGCGATGATCACGATGCGGGCCAGTCGTGCTCGGCGCTGACGCAGCTGGTCTCGATGAGGGCACAGATGCGGGCGGGCTTCGGTAGATTGTAGCGGTACGAATGACGCAGGGTGCCCGTCAGTGGCTTAGCGACGAAGCTTGTCGGGCAAGTCGAGGCGCGCGGAGGGGCGGCGTCGTGGGCGGTGTGCCAAGGTCGGGAGCGCTACGGTGCCGATGGCGAGCCGTGGCAAGGAGCAGCAGTGATGACAGACGATGAGGGAGAGAGGGTGGTGTGGCCGCGGTGGTGGTGGTGGTCAGAGAAGGTGATGATGACGGCGGCAGCAAGGGGTGGTGGATGGAGCAAGGGGCAGAAGGTGGAGTGAAGGCCGATCTGGCGACGAGTGTTGGCGGCCTACGCGAGCAACACGACGGAGGCCTGCTGCCTGGCTGCCTGTCGCCTGACTTTTCGAATTGTCCTGTCTGTTGTGGCGTGGCGTGGCGTAGCTCCGCTATCTGATGGAAGCTCAGCTCCGGGGATAACCAAGTCGAACCGCAGAGAGTGGTCGGGTCGACGACGGTGGCTCTGGAGACGACGACGACGGCAGTGCGGCGTGGTTGGGATGCAGAGAGGTGCAAAAGGCGACGAGCCAAAGCGAAGCTGAAAGGCCAGTTGGTAAGGTGGAAGGCAAGCCGTCGCGCGAAGAAGGCGTCGGACGTTGCGAGGAGGCAGGAAAGGCGGTCGGGCGAGAGTCTTAGTGAGGTGAGGCCAGGGTGAGGCCAGGAAGCCAAAGGGAAAAGCTGCAGTTGGGCGATAGACCGACCGACAGGCAGGACAGGACCGATGGACCCAGCCACCGCCGCGCGGCCAGGCCAGGCTGCCTCATCAGGGTCAGCCCTCCAGACTGCCCGCCTGCCTGCCCGCCTGCCTGCCTGCCTGCCTGCCTGCCTGCCTGCGACGAGCGACGACCGACGAGCGACGACCTGACGCGCGCGCGTTTTTGGCTGCTGACCCTTGCCTGCCTCGCCTCGCCTGCCTTGCCTCACCTCTCTGTTGGCCTGCCTGCTGCCCCGCCGGCCAGCCAGGTCAATTTGCGTCCGCCGCCTGGTTTCGACGCTCAGTCGACTTTCGCGGCCCTCGACGCGCAGCCTGGCCTTGCACGGACGGCACACATACACATCAGCCTGCGGCCTCTCTATTCGCTGTTTCTGTTGGTTTCTGGCTTCATACACGCCGGCGAGACTGCTGCGATGAGCGCAAAACGACGCCCCGCCGCTGCCGTCATGCCTCGTTGGCGGCGGCGCGGGGGGCCAGCGCCGATCCGGGCACCGTCCACACCTTGAGCGTGCCGTCGTCGCCCGCCGTCGCCAGCAGGTCGCCCATGTGCTCGTGCGTCACCCCCTCGTGCTCCGACAGCGGCCGGCCGTCGTCTCCCACCTCTTGCACGCTCGCTCCGCCGCTGCCGCCCTCGAGGTCCCTCGGCGCCCACGAGACGCAGTTGACGTCCGACACGCCGTGCGCCTGCTCCACCTTGGCCACCAGCTCCGTCACGGGCGCCAGCCCGCTGCCGTCGGCGTCCTCGTACACGTCAAACACGCACACCCGCCCGTCGCCGCCCCCCGTCGCGATCCGGCCCAGGCTCTGGCGCCCGCCCGGGTGCGACGCCACAGCGTGGCCCCACGAGACGCTGTACACGGTGCGCGCGTGGTAGTCGCGCAGCACCTTGGCGCACACCCACTTTTCCCCCGCCCGCCCCGCCATCTTGCCCTCGGCCGCAACGCCGCGCGCCTCGCACTCGTCGGCCGACAGCCGCCGCCAGATGCGCACCGTCTTGTCGTCCGACGCCGACGCCAGGAAGCGACCGCACGGCGAAAAGGCCAGCGACCACACCGTCGACTCGTGGCCCGTCAGCGTCGAGAAGCAGAACCAGTCGTCCGAGGGGTCGTCGATGTAGAGCTTGATCGCATCGTCGTACGACGCCGACGCCAGGATCTGCGGCAGGCAGGCGGAGGGCGGAAAAGGGCGGTGGACAAAGGGGGAGTCACGGGTGAGCGGACCGGTCCTCGCGCCTCACGCCTGATGCAGTCCACTGAGCCGCTGACGCTGCTGCTGCTGCCCTCGCTCACCTCTTCCTTGGGATGCCAGGCCACCACTTTGACGTCCTGGCTGTGCTCCATCAGCACACTCAGGCACTCGAACTCGGCATCCGGTTGCACTGTCAGGGTCGGGTCGGGTCGAGGGAGGGTCGGCAGAAGCACAGAGGACCAGGGTGCCATCTCGTTGGTCAGCACGGTCCCGCCGCAGTCAAGATCAGCTTCCCCGCTGCCCAGCTGCCCCGTCGCGCCTGCTCACCTTCCCAGATCCAGACGCTCTTGTCGCGGCTGCAGCTCGCCAGCACGCCGCCAGTGTGGCTGAAGGCGACGCTCTTGCACTCGCTCTCGTGACCCTCGAGCGTTCCAATGCAGTCCCACTCGGGCTCGTCGAGCAACGCACCGCCGTTGGTCAGCCGGATCGGGCCCGTGGCCGCGCCCCCACTGCCGCACTGGTGGCCCTCTTGGCCGTGGTCGTGGTCGTGGTCGTCGTGGACGCCCTCGATGTCCTGGATCCTCTCCCAGATGCCGACGGTCGAGTCAAACGACGCCGTGGCCAGCGTCTTGCCGGACGGCGCCCAGGCCACCTGGCGCACGGTGCGCTTGTGGCCCGTCGGGACCACCTCGCGGAGGTTGAACTGCGGCTTCCTGGTGGTGCCGTTGCGGGGAGCGGCGATGTCGGTGTCGGTGGTGGAGGTGGTGGCGCTGCTGGCGTTGCTGGCGATGGTGCTCGAGGTGGGCACGAAGCGGTACGAGTGCAGGCGCACGTCCTTGTCGGTCGAGCACGAGGCGAGCACGGGCATGCGCGGATTCCACGCCAGGTGCCACGCGCGGTCGCCGTGGCCCTCGAGCTCGGCGACCAGCTCCAGCGACGGCGGCGAGCGCGGCGACGATCCCTCAGTGGTGGCCGGCGTCATGCTGACCAGGTCAGCAGGGTCCGGGTGGGGCGATGGAGTGGCGAGACTCGGCGGGATGATGGCCGGGCAGAGTGCAGAGTGCAGAGTGCAGAGTGCTCCCCGTCTATCGATGGTCGCAGGGTCGTCAAGAACCAGCAGGCCAGGTGCAACGTGGGTGGTGGTGGTCAAGAGCGAACGATGGCCTGCCTCCCTGCCTGCCTGCCTTCCAGCGATGACTGGATCCGCGCATGCGCCATTGTGGAGGGAGGCAAAATCGCGCGGCATCTCGAGCGCCCCTTGCCTTGTACCAATATGTATGCTACTTTCCCGACCCTTGACATGGACAGGTTGTGTGATGTAGAGGTCAGCATCCTGGATTTTGATCTGGTGGGTCGCGCGAAGCGGCCGAGTCGAACGTTCCAGTAACCCGGGTTCGACTCCCGGCACGACCTTTTTTCGCCTTTTTTTTGCAAGGGGGGGCGGGGATGGCGTGGATGGCATTCGTTAGTCGACGAAGGGGCGCTGGGAAAGACGGTGACGACATCGGGGAAAGCAGACGAGCGCGGGGCTGAGGCAGACAGAGAGGACCAGTGACAGTGTTACCCGGGAAGCGCAGTCGAGAAAAGCCCAACAAGAGAGGGAGAGGAGGGGAGAGGAGGGGAGAGGAGAGGAGAGGAGAGGAGAGGAGAGGAGAGGAGAGGAGAGGAGAGGAGAGGAGAGGAGAGGAGAGGAGAGGAGAGGAGAGGAGAGGAGAGGAGAGGAGAGGAGAGGAGAGGAGAGGAGAGG